TCATAAACAATTTCTTATTTTATTTATACTGATACAAATACGAGAGTTTTATAAAAAAATAACTATATTTGTTAAAGACTTCTAAAAACACGTATAATAACATTTAGGAGGTGTTTGAGATTACTTATCTAAAACAACTTATGTTTAAAAAAAAACACTTATCAATTTATTATAAATCAGGATGGTTTAATTTCTTCAAAAACTTCTTATTATCGATGCCAGATCAAAATAAGTTAATAATTTATTTTTATAAGTAATATCAAACACTATTAATGTAAAATATATAAAAAGAAAAATATTTGGGCGCGAGGTGACACATGCGACAATAATACGTTACGGCTACCTTCTGCCTTCCTCGAAAACCCCCGGAGAACACAAGCAGACGGCATCGCCAGTATTTACCGACCGAAGTGAAGAGCAGAGCAATAAGTGCTTTTGATCTGGTTTACTGGATTTTTCAGACCGAGTTATCGTGACGTAAGCGTTTTTTAACTTTCCCTTCAAAATCATCGCCATTACTCTTACATCGCAGTATTTTTGGGGTTTCTTGTGCTGATCGTTACACTCAACAGAATGCAGCATTTATCTTTTGATGTTTATTGCAGGAAGAGGACTTGCTTTTATTTTTGTACAATTGTGTAGGGTTTAGGGTTTTGTGTTCTTATTTAATTTTCGTTATTTTATCGAAATTGTTTGCCGTATATGTATATTTCCTGAGGAGAAATTGATGTTTTGGGAGAAAACAATGTCAAGAATGGGTAGAAAGTTATCTATGGCACAACTATCGACGGAATTAGTAAAAAACCCGAAGTATGCAATGTATTGCCACTTATACCAAAGCACATAGTATTAACTTTAAACATTGTCTTCCTTGTAGTTCAACATCCCTAGAAATTAGAAATAATTTACCTTTGTCAGTTTACATAGAGAATAATTGCTATTTTGAATTAGATATGAAAATTGCAACATTTTTTTGAGAGGTTTTAAACCTAAATTACCTATTTAACTGTTGATAATTGATGACACTGATTTGGGTTCAAGGTGTTTTATAATATTTGAAGGGTTTGTTGGACATTTTACTTGCATTCAAACAGTTGCTTGTTTCTTCATACGTTAAAACATTGTGACCCCAGATGAGAAAGTTCTATGTAGAAGTAGTGAACATTTCTTGCATTAAGTTGGAAAATATTAAAACAGATATCAATGTATTATGACAATATTATTTGAATTAAGATTTAGTGTTGGCATGGAAAAGACATTCAGATCATCTTAAATTATCATCTTCTCATAAGAAGAAAAAACTGAGGATCTCTTATATATGGCACAAGCAGAAATCTGAACTGAACTGAATGGACCCACCAAAAAAGAGAATGGAAACTGGTATGAGCAAATGAAACCTGATTCACCATGTTCTATGCATTGCCATTTGAACTTCCCCCATGCATTTAATCAATCTAAAGAGCTTCAACTTTGTAACTGTATTTTTGCTCATTATTTCTGCATTCTCGTGATGATTTTGTAGAGAACATGACTTGTACTGAAGTGCCGTAGAAGAAAATGGTTCATGTGGCAGAGGTGTGTGCGGAGTGCACCCAGAATTGTCTCTTGATGCATAAAAAGGATAAAAATCCATCACCTGTTGCTACTACGTTCTTCAAAGTCATGTTTGGTGACGAATATTCCAAAGTTCTGGTATTGACATGTTCTCATCGCATTTATTATTTATTTACTGCTTTTTGTGATCTTTTTGCCTCAATGTCATAAGCCTTCTTACTCCGTGTGAATAGATTGTTAGTTGAAGTAATATGAATCTACTAAAAAACCAACTCTATGATGTGCATGATATGCCCTTACATCAATTGCATTTTCAGTATGTGGTCTCTTTTGGCTTTGTTCTAGAAGTAGATGAATGATATATTACTCGCAAATTTTTCTCCTGCATGTTTAAGTTAATTTGATATCTCTTACACTGGAAAGTTTGAATGGGCCTTCTACTTTATACAAAAAGTTCTAAGAGACGAAAAAAGTAAATATATACTTGTATGGTTCTACATGGAAAGATTGCCTAGCATAGAATGATGGAAGTCTAAATGTTTGATGAATTCATAACTTTGGGCACTAGGATTTTTGAAGCATTTGGCTTTAAGATGCCAAAAACATCATATATGTCTCGGTAAGGATGCAAATTTTGGCTTTGGTGATGGAAGGATCTTTTTAACAAACTTTAATTGCTTTCCTTTAAATGGCTTCCAAATCGTTCGGTTGAAGTGGAATATCTTGTTTATGGTTTCACACCTATGTCAGTTGTCAAGTTTGTTATTTCTTACTTTAAGTTAACTTATCAGTAAATAGCATAAATTTATTTGTGATTATGACGATGGGTAAGTAGGTAAATTGAACAAGAAAACTTCTGAAAAAGGAAAATGCTCTTCTTTTCGTAAGAGGGAGGAATTATTTGTAAAAGATGTTAATTGTTTTATGCATTTATTTGCAGTTCCTGCCTCCTAGATTTGCTCATAGTGTACGGAACATGGTTGGTAAGGCAACTCGGCTTGAGGATTTAAGTGGTGAGAAATGGACAGTAAAATTCACTATGATTGATGGCTTCTTGGCTTTTGAAGAAGGTTGGAATGCATTTTCAACTGCTCATGGGTTAAAGGTGGGAGATTTCTTAGTTTTTCATTACATCATGGAATCTCACTTTGTTGTCTTGATGTATGGACAAAGTGGTTGTCCTGAAATCCAACACTTCGGATTTAATCAGCACCAGATGGAAGACACTCGGAAAAAGCAAAGATTGGTTACTGATAATACTAATAGTAAACCCTCAAATGTGAACACTAACGACCATCATATTTCATGTGAACCTTCTCAATCTGAACATTCTGACAACGAGCATCCTGAAATTAGACACTCTGTAGGCACTCAACACAAAGAAGAAAGAATTAAGAAAAAAGAAACAGCTGTGCAGTTACCACCAAGTGTCAATGCTAAGAACACTTGTAATCATTTGCTTGCTTCGACTTCTCGACCTGGGCCCTCTGTTTCAGGTAAAGAATTGGTTAGAGACGAGAACCCTGATAACATGGTGTCTGAGACTCCAACTGTGAAGCAGTTTTGTTTGGTYGATAATGATATTGAACATGTAGAAGATGAACACAGAAGCACTTTGATAAACAGATTTCATCTTGACCGACTCCCCACCCAAAAAAGAGCAATTGAGAATCTCGAGGACCTTTTTGAACGTCTGTCTTCAAGAGACTCTTTACATGACTTGTCAATCCCTGAAATTAACCCCCGTGAATCTGACGATGTCCGGAAAAACAATGTAGCTTTCGGAGGCGGTGGAAATGCAACTCAAATTAACAAATCTGGGAAGACGTTAGAATCACGATCCGAGGAGTCAAGGGAGAATCCCAAGAAAAGCACCATCATGCCAAGTGAAGCCACATGCAACAATTCTATCAAGAAGAGATTGAGGAGCTCGAGCCTTCCAAGTAGGTTGCTTTTTCTATATCTGCTACTCCCATGTAAAGAATTCCAATTTGACTTTCCAAGACAAACCTATTAGTTCATATGCCTTAAATTTATATATATATATATATATATATATATATATATATATATATATATATATATATATACACATTCACAGAAAAAATAAATGTCATGGAGGTCTTGATTATTGGAAGAAGTTGAATGAATTCACTTGATCTCAAAGTCAAATTATACTCTTTTCTTTAAATGGAGTATCTTTGTTTGTTAAAATTACCCCCTTTGACCTCAAAAGTCAAACTATACCTGAAAACAAAGGCAGTAACTTCTTCTAGGATAACTGATTAACTGATATGTTTCCTTCAGGCACCATTTTTTAACCTCAATAATTCTTCATGCAAGTTCTAATTGTAGTTCCTTTGTTTCCAATTGTCTGTCCTATTTTGACTTCAAATGCCAAACAAACTATTTTCAATTTTAAAATTAACATTGATACGCACAACTTAGGAAAATTTAATAATTACATTAAAATCTGCAATAAGCATTATAGATGCAAAACAATTGACGTTAATCAGTAACTGTCATAACTTAGATTAATACAAGTTATGTCACTGAAGGACAACTACTAGTCTACTATGGAGCTGGTTATCAATTTATGCCCATGTAAATCATCTAAATGTTTCCGTGTTTATGTACTAGTGAAACCATATGTTGTGTTCTGTATGATCTTAATCTGATCTTTTTGATGGTTAAAAAGACATAAAAGGGGTAAGTTGGGACAAGTGACAGTATTGATCTTTGTTTCTGTTCTTTTTTCTTAAATCTCCATAAAAAGCGTTTTATTTTCAAGTTTCAACATGACTCTATGTTTTAACAGTTGCATGGCCAAAGATGGCTAAAAAAGAACCGGCCGGGGCAAGCGAAACCGACACCTCAGGTTCAAGATTGCATGATGCCTTCTGTCCCTCCCCCTCCACTGGGATTTTTCCTAAATCAATAGGTAAGATTCGTAATTTATTGATAGTTTTATACTTGTTTGCTCGTTTTCATCATGCGACTGTTCGCTTACATTGAACAGCTAAACCAATGAAAGTGACCAAAAAGGAGCTATTATCAAATGGTGTGTCAAACAGTGTCTTGTTCCAATTATATTTCTAGTTTTCTATAAATTTGTAACATGAGAATGAGTCCATGAATGAATCTAAATGCAGAATGCGAGTTGAAGGATACCGAGACAGGTCTCCTCCATAACTCTCCTGCAGAAAAAGATAACGATGGATTTGTCAAGCCTGAGCCTGTTGACTATGACGAGGCGCTTCCGCCTGGTCCCACCAACTCTTTATTTTCTGCGGTGATGAGTAGTTACCATTATCTTGTACGTATTCTCGGAAACCTATATTCTCTGTGTGTCTTTTAGACTCTATTTACTTTAAAAACTTCAGATCACATAGGATTTTATTCAAATTGTTTAGACGAGGGCTTCACTGATTTACCCTAGAATCAGACTAATGGCCTTAGTTCTTGTGCATGAACCGTACTCCATTTCAATTCATTACAAACTCCATTTCAATTCATTACAAACCCATAATTTGTGTATATATTAGCCATCAAGAAGTTCTGAAATATCAAATCAACATAAATTTGGGGACTTAACAAGATTATTGGTCTTCTAACAATCCCTGCTTAGTGCTGCTTAAGCGGCTGTTTAGGCGTTGGAATCTTCTTATTGCTTCAATTAGTTAGGGTTGCTTAACCGGCACCTAGATGTTAGATTTGTCCATCGCCATAATTAGCAACAAATTTCTCCATCATCATAGTTAGCAACTAATTATTCAATTACGTCTTTCAAATAATGAGATGGTTATGGCTTTTCTCAGCTTATGCTCATCGATTATGTTTCCCAGAAGGTAATCTTTCCAAAAAATTTCTAGTGCTTCTATTGATCATAGAACATTGAGAATGGTTGTTTCTTAAAGTAAATCTACCAAAACAATGTGGTATGAAAATGATAGTTCTTGTATGCATACTTTTATCGTATAATGATGTAGTCTACGTATTTATATGAACTCCCTATGTGTCCTTTTAAACATCCACTGAACATATTTCAGACCACTAAACCAAACCAAACGAACCCAGTAAGGGCCTGTTTGTTAGCAGCTTAATGAGACAACTTATTTTGATCAGCTATAATGATTGTTTGGTAGTGGCTTAATGATATAGGAAGTGGGTTATAAGAGGGAGCTTTATGCAGAAAGACAAGTTTGTTTCCAAACGTGTCCCTCCTAGTTAAAAAGCATGCTCCTTCCATCTATTAATAAACCCTCACAAACAAAAACCTTCCCAATCTGTACGGACATATTAATCCACACAAACAGCTTTATCCATACAACACTTAATGGAATACCAACCAAACAATTCCTAAATCTCTCTTGTGAAGTGAGGTCTTGGGAGCGTAAGATGGTCATATTTTAGAAAACTAAAGATTATAAATGGTGATATGCAGGAATTGCCGGAATGGGTGAAGTTGAAAAAGGTAATTCTTCTGAGAAACGGTGGTGATCTTTGGCCAGTTTTATATCAAAACCAGTTGGGTTTAAAGGCTTTGACACAAAGTTGGCAAGCGTTTGCAAAGGAAAGAGGCATTCAGCCAGGAGACAACTGTGAATTTGTGCTGGAAAGCGAACCAAATGCCGACTTACCTTGTAGCGTGTTTAGAGTACATGTTACTGCTAAATAGTGTAAGTTGTACTCAGATTCGACGTGTTTTTTCTTTTTTGGTGGTTTGTGGGAATTCTGTTTTTGGATGCAACTTTCAAGTGCATAGTAAATGTCGTAAAAGCAGGTAATGGGTTTTTGTTGTCTCGTATCGAGTTACAAGTGACTATAAACTCTAAGAACATGTATATTTTGTTCATCAGTGTATTATCATGTTTTTATGATGTTTCAAGGGAAGAAAAACAATTTTCCTTTTGGCAAGTTTCATGTTAAGAGTATTTTTCACCTATTGCTGTCGTGAGCTGCGGAACCAAGATTTTTATCCAGTAGGTGCAGCTTTGTCATTTTATGGTGGATCAAAGACATGTAAAGTCGTGGTTTGATTATAAGGAAAAGTCAATTGTGTCGGTTTGAAAAATAAGATGCATCTTCTAAATGGAAATTGACCCTGAACCGAACCAAAGAGGCCCTTAGTTTTGGGAAAATGTAATGTATTCACAACCATAGGATTAAAATAGATGGATGGATCAAAGAAAAGAAACAATAGAATTATTTCAACCTCTTAAACAGAGTAGCACTCGACCTCAACAATTTTGAGCTTGATTCATGATGTTTCATATTAGATATTAACAACCACCTCCGAACTGATGTTTGTCTTCATATAGAGAGAGATGAGCGAACAAATGCAAACCATCTAATTTGTATAAACCACCTTCATCCATTGAGTTCATTATTTAATCTTATGAAAAAATTTCATGAAATTGTTTAATCTTGTAAAATTGTTTCATATAATACTTTTTTTGATGAAGTTGTTTCATATATGGTTATGAAATTGTTTCATATAATACTTAATGATATTTTAATGAAACTATTTCATGTATTTCTCTAAAATTAAAATAATGAAGGTAATAATATCCATGATTAACATCCTCCACAATAAAAATGATTAATCAACCTCTCATAATTACAAAAAAAATGAACAAAATAAAAAATTATGATTGATTGAATGAGGTTTGTACGGTTTGTACAAATAACGTGGTTTGCAAAGTTTACCTCATATATATAGGGGCTGGTTCAAATAGAAACCAATCATATGGTACAAACTATGTGAACCGATCTTGATCGTTCATTTTATCATCAAACGGTTATTATTAAATGAGATTAAATAAACAATAATTTAATTAATGTATTAATTGATATGTGTATGACCAATTGTTCAAAGGGTAAATTGGTCAAACGATCATTATTAAATGAGTATTAAAAAATAATCAATTAATCATTAAATTAATTGGGCTGCTTATTGGTCGGGATATAATTCACACCTTTAGACTAATGAAATTGGGTCACAAAGCAAGTATACAATACGACACAACGTCGTCTTTCCAAGTAATAAAGTGGTACAAGTACCGGATTATTGTCCACAGAGATTGTAGCCAAAATTAGATTAGAGTCCAATGAAAGAGATGATTTCAGATGACGATTTTGAAGACTTTTCTTTGATTTTAAGGTTATCCAAAACAGAATACAGAATATATAAAAGAAGCAAGGGTGTAAGACTTAAGGTGAGACCCAAACACAAATTCCAGCAGCCAATGATGTAGCAATGCTACAGCAAGCAGTGTTTCGAAACTAAGTTCCACCATCTATTTTGAAGGCATTCCTCTCGGACTTCACCATTTCACTATCTTATAGCTTTCCACCCATATCTCTATGTGATGTCTGGACCGGGGATAGTGACACAATGGTGTTTTCAAAATATATGGATAAACAAATCTATTTGTTAAAAATCACTCTCTTGAGTCGATTCCCATATCATTCGAGTTGGCGTGTTCTTGATATTTCATCTCTGAATATATCACACTTTGACACTTTTACAAGTGACCAACCCGTCGGGAGTTACGTTTTGAAAAACATAAATGACAAGTCTCCTTGTCGGCAACTTTCTCAAGTCTACCTCTTATGTCATCCAAGTTGACGTGCTTATTGATAGCTTATCTCTAAGTCCATTGCACTTTAACACTTTCAAGTGATCAACCCGTCAAGAAGTGTGCTTGGTTTTATAAAAACTCGAATGAAACAATGGAACGTCGTTTACGAAACACTTAGCTACTTTCRTTTGRTTTAAAAATCTCACCTTCCRTSTCACACCCAAGCWATAAAAGCTTAGGTACTCATAACGGAAAGTAAAAAATAAATGAYGGAAAATAAAGACATAAAYGTAAATTGCGTAAAGTAAATAACGATAAAATAAATGACKGAAATGTAAATRACKATAAAATAAATGACGGGAATRYAAATGACGAGAATGTAAATAGCGRAAAATAAATGACGGAATGTAAATGACRAGAAAATAAATAGCGGAATGTAAATAGCGGAAATGTAAAAGACGAGAAAATAAATGACGGAAAAYAAAAGAMAAGAAAGTAAATAAAGAAAAAGATGAAGAAAAACTTGAAGTCTTAAATGAAGAACACCCTTGGAGAGGGTTTACAAAAACTAGCTAATGGAAGAAAGAAGGAAGAAAAGATGGAGAAAAGGATTAAGTGATTAAGGGATCCAATGAAGGATCCAATGAATGATGGTTTAGAAGGCACCTCAAGCCCTCTTTTTATACCCAAAAGGGGTTACTAGAAGACAAAATAAAAATACTTGTAGGCTAAGTTTTCTAAAAGYTAGTTACAAAGCAACAAAAGTGTAACTAGAAAGTACAAATCYTTAACCAAAGTTTAACTAAAAAGTACATAAGCCTAACTAAAGAGTACATCTGATTTTTCCACTAAAAATCCAGCTTTTTCCAGCTGTCCTCCATCTTCAAAAAGYCAGCGTCTTGTTCATTAAGCCCTCCAAAAAGYCWTGYATGAATCAGGTCGACGCTGCACCAATGCTGCAGCATTTGCTGTTTTCACAAAAACTCTCATTTAGCATCATTTACACATACCAACAAGTAAACCACAACATTTAGCTTCATAATAACAAAAGTATAACGAAATAAATAAAAAGGACTCAAAGTGGGAATGAAAAGAAATTATTGTAACTAAAAAGATGTAAAAATAGCGCGTTATGTGTTAAATTCTCAACACATATCATAMCCYCAAACTTAAACCGTTGCTTGTCCCCAAGCAACCAAAAGACAAATATAAAGACTCAATATAAACTAAAATGCATGATCAAGGCATTAAGTGCCTTCCCAAAGAGAGTTATAGCATTATGATGTTCATAGCCTTTCATAAATCTAAGAAGTGTCAATCAAAACTAAGTTATTTGCATGAACCATAGGCTAGCATTCCCTTTTCTTTGTCAAGTTCAAACGCAACCACCATTTTAGGATCATTAGGGCTTATCGGGTTTTTTCTCATTGGCGTATTTTTTCTCTCATAGCTTTTTTCTCTTGTATACTCCACATATAATTTTTTTTCAAATTTTTGGGCCTTTTGGCCTCTTTTGTTTGGAGTTTGCACATAATCCCTATGGGATTCTTGTTGTGCCATTTTATAATATTATCCAAAACACATAGCCCCTATGGGACTTTTGTTGTGTTTTTCCAAACCCTTTGTGTAATAASGAGTCAATTTAAAGCTTTGCTCTTTTGTATTGACTTTGTGTCCTTGTGTAAACTCCTCCCCCAAACTTGAATATGACAATGTCCTCATTGGCGTTATGTAGGGTAAATGGTGTTTAAAGGGTGCAAGTGGCTAATATGAGCATAGAAAAGATGGCCTATCTCATTTCCTAATGGTGATTGTGTGATCAAAGTGTTTTCCCAAAAAGAGTTTTGCTAGTTCTAGCAAAAAACAAAGTACCATGATTAAATGACAAACAATCACTAAAATTATTCGGGCTATGATCTCATGTGTTAACAGCCCTCAACTGAAATGATCATGCGTAAAAAATAAGACTATAAAGTATAAAAAACTATTCCCGACTCAAAAAGATAAAATATGAAGCTAAATAAAGTGGTTAGAACTTGCCCTACTCCAAAGGAGTAGGTTGTGCAGCCTGAGCTGCCATTTCCTTCTTCAACTTCTCATTCTCTTCAAACAGACTCTTATTATCCACCTTGATGGCCTTCAAAATGTTTTCACGAAAGTTGATATTCTCACCTGTTATGAGACTAAACAAAAGCACCAACCTTTCTACAAAAATGGAGTTGTTCTGATTAGTCGATGATAAATAATATCTAATAAAGCTTATCCAAACATTCTTATCAGAGGACAAATTGGCAGCCTTAAAGGTTTTCAACATGAAATGAGTGTAAGGCTTCCAATCAGTCTCAGGCATTCCAAGGAAAGTCATGATCTCAACCAAATATGTCTTAGAGGCAGTGTGCAAGAGTGCATCATTCTCAGAATCTATGTGAGGTGAGAGTTGTTTCAAGTCTAAGTCAGGTGGTGAAACAATGGACGGGGTAAAGTCTTTTTGCTCACCATTTTCTAGCAGCTCAAATGCTGCAGCATCCACTAGGACAACATTAGTTCCTAATTCCTCTATTTCCTCAACATTTTCTTCTATTTCCTCACCATACTTTTCTTCCAACTTAAGGCTTTTCTGAATTCCATCTTCCAAACACATCTCCTCTGTCTCAGATATTCTTGAACACTCTTCCAAGTAATCAAGGTACTTTAGAGAGTTGAAGACATTAAATGTGACTTTTTGGTCTTGGAGTCTCATGGTCAACTCTCATTTCTGGACATCTATCAAAGTTCTCCCGGTGGCCAGAAATGGTCTTCCTAAAATAATAGGAATGTCTTTATCTGCCTCAAAGTCTAGAATGATAAAATCTGCCGGAAATATGAACTTGTCAACTTGCACTAACACATCCTCAATCTTTCCCTTAGGGTATGCTATGGACTTGTTGGCCAATTGGAGTGTAACCGTGGTAGGTCTAGCCTCCCCTATGCCTAAGGTGTTGAAAACAGATAAACGCATGAGGTTGATACTAGCACCTAAGTCACACAAAGCTTTCCCAATCTCTTTCCCACCTATAGAACAAGGAATAGTGAAACTTCCTGGGTCTTTAAGCTTAGGAGGTATCTTGTTGGTCAGAAGTGCACTACACCCTTTAGTAAGAGCTACGGTTTCATACTCGGTCAGATTTTTCTTCTTACTTAAGATGTCCTTGAGGAACTTAGCATAACTAGGCATTTGCTCGATTGCCTCAACAAGTGGTATGTTGATGTGCAATTCTTTGAACACATCCAATAACTTCTTAAAATGCAATTCCTCTTTCTGGTTCCTCAACCTTTGGAGGTAAGGAACATAAGGAGGAACTGGTTTTATCACATTCTTGCTTGGATGTGTTGAGCAAGATGGGTCTTGAATGCCTTGAGTCTTTGTGGTGCACTTTGAAGGTTTAGATGGAATCTTAACATCAAACTTAGGGGTCTCTAAAACCTCAGTCCCTTCCGATTTTTTTAAAACATCTTCTGGAAACAGTAAGGGATAGTCTGATCTTAGGGGAATAGAAGTGGTGGTCTCAGATGCTTGCTTCTCTAAAGGTTGGACCGGTCTTTCTTTGGCAGGTACCAATGTTGTAGCATCAGTTTTTGACAAACTTGGTGCACTAGCATTTTGCACCTTTTCAGTCAACTCCTTCCCACTCCTAAGGGTCACTGCTTTCACATGTTCCTTTCCTAAGGCTCTCGGGACTTCTGTGTTACTAGGCAAAGTACCAAGGACTCTATTGGTCTGATTGAGTGCAAGTTGACTGACTTGGGTTTCCAGATTTCTGATAGCCGCACTTTGCTGATTAAAAAGAGATTGATTTTGAGAGTTTTGTTGGGTTATCAAAGCTTGATTTTGAGATTGAGCATGCGCAAATAACCCCTTTATTATTGCTTCCAAAGAAGATGATAAATCAGCTTGTGGAGGTGGCTTGTTTTGAAAAGATGGTTGGGAATTCTGAAAACTTTGTTGGTGAGAGTTAGAACTGTTTCCATGATGTTATGGTTGGAAATTAGAAGTTCCTTGTTGTTTATGGACTGGTGGGTTTAAACATGGACTGGTTCAAGAAAAATCCGGGTGTTGTTTTCAACTTGCATTGTAATTGTTGGTATAGGGACCATATCCATTATGAACAAAGTTTATGTATTCAGAATTATGAGGACAATGTTCATACAAGTGTTCCCCACCACAACACACACACTGCACAGATAGGACTGTTGGGACAGGTGTATTAGCAACTTGTTGTCCTCCCTGACCAGAAGTTAAATTTTTCAGCAGGTTGGTCATGGAGGTAAGCTGAGCTGTTAATGCAGTATATGCATCTACATCATGTATCCCAGCAATCTTTTTCTGTGATTGAGCACGAGGGTCGGTTCAATGCCCATTGTTGGCTGATATCTTTTCTAGGATTTCATATCCTTCATTATAGGTCATGGTTGTAAAGGCTCCGTCCGCAGTCGCATCGAGCATTTGTTTTGCCATGGGATTTAACCCATTGTAAAACGTCTCGAGTTGAATACAGTACGGAATGCCATGGTGTGAGCATTTCCTTAACAGTTCTTTGAACCTTTCCCACGCGTCAGGAACAGCCTCATCGTCCATTTGTTTAAAAAGACAGATCTCATTTCTGGACTTAGCGTTCCTTGTTGGTTGGAAATATTTTCGCAAAAAAAATTCCGCCATGTTACTCCATGACGGCACAGAACCCGGAGTTAACGAGTTAAACCATGCTTTTACCCGATCCCTCAATGAAAATGGAAATAAAGTAAGTCTGAGAGCGTCATTTGACACTCCCGGGATCAAGAAAGCATCAGTGATTTCCATAAAAGATTTTAAGTGCGAATGTGGGTCCTCCGAAGGTAATCCGGCAAATTGGCCATTTGTTTGCAACATGTGAAACATTATGGGTTTGAGTTCAAAATGGAGAGCGGTCATATGTGGCCTAACTATCCCGGAATTTAATTGCTCAAAATCCGGAATAGCATAGTCCATGATCCTCCCATTTTTGGAATTTGCCAAATTAATAATGTTCGGAGTTTGTGCTCTTTGGTGCTCATTAGGTTCTGATTTCGTGTCCAAATTATTACCATTATGGGGGTGTCCTTGTTGAAAGTTCTGGAATTATGGAATTTGTTCAAAAACCGGCGGTTGGTTTTCCAAATGTGGTATTTCCGGAATAATTGGGGGAGGTAACGTCATATTTGGAGGGAGTAGAGCAAAAAATGCTCTTTGAGTCCTCCTCCTATGGTGAAACGTTCTCTCAATATCGAGATCAAATTCGAAAAATTCTCCGCGTTGTAACCGTGGCATACACCACTTTTAAAAACGATTCCGATGGTAATAGAAAAATCAAATCTTTTAATTTACTCAAAGTAAAACTTTAGCGAAGCAATCCCCGGCAGCGGCGCCAAAAACTTGGTCGGGTTATATTTCACACCTTTAGACTAATGAAATTGGGCCACAAAGCAAGTATACAATACGGCCCAACGTCGTCTTTTCAAGTAATAAAGTGGTACAAGTACCGGATTATCGTCCACAGAGATTGTAGCCAAAATTAGATTAGAGTCCAATGAAAGAGATGATTTCAGATGACGATTTTGAAGAATTTTCTTTGATTTTAAGGAGATCCAAAACAGAATACATAATATATAAAAGAAGCAAGGGTGTAAGACTTAAGGTGAGACCCAAACTAAAATTCCAGCAGCCAATGCTGTAGCAATGCTACAGCAAGCAGTGTTTCGAAACTAAGTTCCACCATCTATTTTGAAGGCATTCCTCTCGGACTTCACCATTTCACTATCTTATAGCTTTCCACCCATATCTCTATGTGATGTCTGGACCGGGGATAGTGACACAATGGTGTTTTCAAAAT